TGGGGCGGAGGAGAGCTCCAGGGGCGGGTGGTAGAGGCAGAAGGGGAAGGAGGAAGCTGCCAGGGGAGGAGTCTGGGAAGAGCTGAGCTAGGGCGTTACAGCCTCCTGGGTGCCCCCCGGCTACCCGCGCTGTCAGCGGAGGTAGCCAGCCCAGCCCGGCGGTGGGCTCCGGACGGGAAAGGGTTAAACAAGTAATCCTGCCCTTAATCCGAACGCAATTAGCTTTGGGAGAACCTTGCTCCCCACCCCCAACCCCTGGAGCTGCCCGGTTCCTCGCGGGAGGACGTGGCTGGGGGGCCAGGCCTCCTGGGTTCTCTCCGTGACTCAGTTTCCCTGCCTGTGTAGCAGGGATAATAATTCTCCCTTTGTCTACAGGGATTATTGCGCTGGTCAGGGGGGAGGCTGTCTCTCCTGGGGGGCTGGTCTCGGGTGGGGTCTGTGTCGCACTGCTTGGAATCGCCCTAGTATCCGCTAGCCGTGCTGGGCCCTAGCTGAGCCAGGAGCTAAACCACCCGCATTGCTCTGTCTACATTAGTACAGGTGGGGTCAGCCGGAAGGGTTGGGGAGGATGTGACGTCTTGTATGGCGACAGGGACAGAGTTAAGGGGATTCTAGCGCCTGAGGGAAATGGGGGATAGTGGGTGGGAGGCAGCGGGCAGGGGCAGTGACTGGGGGTAACATTGAGGGCAGGGGATGTGTGAGTGCAGCCGCAGGGGAATGGTAAGACATAGGAGTGTGAGGAGGCAGCAGCAGGTGTGAAGGGGCGGGGCACGTCGGGAGTGCAGGGGACGATGGTAGGGGACACACGGGCAATGCATGTGAGGGTGACCCAGGTGAAGCGGGACACATTGGGGAACAGGCTGATGGGGACCCATAGGTGGTGGGAACAGAGGAGGTGGCAGATGGTACAAAGAGGGTACATGGAGTGCATGTAGCGGATGAGGGGCACAGGAGAGGTAGCAGGGGGCACACGGAGGGTCCATGGGGTGCGCCCGGAAGGAGTGGGGGCACACGAGAGCAGTGGGTGAGGGGCACAGGGGAGGTGGCAGGGGGCACACGGAGGGTCCATGGGGTGCGCCCGGGGGGAATGGGGACACACGAGGGCAGTGGGTGAGGGGCACAGGGGAGGTGGCAGGGGGCACACGGAGGGTCCAGGGGGTGCGCCCGGGGGGAATGGGGACACACGAGGGCAGTGGGTGAGGGGCACAGGGGAGGTGGCAGGGGGCACACGGAGGGTCCAGGGGGTGCGCCCGGGGGGAATGGGGACACACGAGGGCAGTGGGTGAGGGGCACAGGGGAGGTGGCAGGGGGCACACGGAGGGTCCAGGGGGTGCGCCCGGGGGGAATGGGGACACACGAGGGCAGTGGGTGAGGGGCACAGGGGAGGTGGCAGGGGGCACACGGAGGGTCCAGGGGGTGCGCCCGGGGGGAATGGGGACACACGAGGGCAGTGGGTGAGGGGCACAGGGGAGGTGGCAGGGGGCACACGGAGGGTCCAGGGGGTGCGCCCGGGGGGAATGGGGACACACGAGGGCAGTGGGTGAGGGGCACAGGGGAGGTGGCAGGGGGCACACGGAGGGTCCAGGGGGTGCGCCCGGGGGGAATGGGGACACACGAGGGCAGTGGGTGAGGGGCACAGGGGAGGTGGCAGGGGGCACACGGAGGGTCCAGGGGGTGCGCCCGGGGGGAATGGGGACACACGAGGGCAGTGGGTGAGGGGCACAGGGGAGGTGGCAGGGGGCACACGGAGGGTCCAGGGGGTGCGCCCGGGGGGAATGGGGACACACGAGGGCAGTGGGTGAGGGGCACAGGGGAGGTGGCAGGGGGCACACGGAGGGTCCAGGGGGTGCGCCCGGGGGGAATGGGGACACACGAGGGCAGTGGGTGAGGGGCACAGGGGAGGTGGCAGGGGGCACACGGAGGGTCCAGGGGGTGCGCCCGGGGGGAATGGGGACACACGAGGGCAGTGGGTGAGGGGCACAGGGGAGGTGGCAGGGGGCACACGGAGGGTCCAGGGGGTGCGCCCGGGGGGAATGGGGACACACGAGGGCAGTGGGTGAGGGGCACAGGGGAGGTGGCAGGGGGCACACGGAGGGTCCAGGGGGTGCGCCCGGGGGGAATGGGGACACACGAGGGCAGTGGGTGAGGGGCACAGGGGAGGTGGCAGGGGGCACACGGAGGGTCCCCTGCGGGGCTTCCCTATGGGTCTGCCTGGGTGCCCCCCCCAATATCCCCCGGCTCAGATGGGGACATTGATACCTGGGGTCTCACTTGGTGGGCAACCCTAGGAGAGGGGTTTTTGGGGGGCTGGCCCCTGCATCCCTTCCTGCAGTGCCTGGGGTGCCCTCCATCCCCTTGTGCAGGGTCCCCCATTCTAAGAGTCACTCCCCCAGCCAAGGCCATGCCCCCCCCGGGAAGTTCCCACGGGGGCAGGGGAACAGTGGGTGGGTGCTGCAGCGCGTGGGGAGTGTTGGTGGATTATCTGGCATGAATTGGACACTGGGGGGGGGGCAGTGCCAGAGCCAGGCATGAGATGCTGGTGGAGAGAGAAAACGAGGCAGCAGGGAGGGGTGAAATGGGGCGGGGGGCACAGCCGATCTGGGGGATCTGGCTGTTTGGGGGGGGCAGCAGTGGGTGCGGCTTGCTCTGGTGCCAGGTGATGTCTCCCTAGGCAAGTCACTCCCTGCCTGAGTGGGCAGGAGGGTCCATTCTGCAGCTGGTGTCCGGCCAGTGGTTTCTGATGGCCAGTCAGGTGTGTGTGTGTGGGGGGGGGGTTGGCATAGGGTGGCAACAAGAGCAAATGGTCTCTGTTTGGCCACCAAGAAGGGAATGGGGCCTAGTGGTTAGAGCTAGTGGGTGGGGTGAAGTGGGGAGTCAGACCTGCCCCTGATTCCCCGTGAGATCTTTCCCCTCCCCCATGCCTCAGTTTCCCCCTTTGTGCAGCGGAGATCATAACCCCGGCACCCGAGGAGGGAGGGAGAATCAGTGATGCCTCCAAAGTG